CACTTTCCTGGGGGGCGGACCCACTTTGTGGGTGTATAACTTGGATGTCAAAACCAATCTTCATCAAACTTGGAGAGATTGTAGAGGAGAGTCATGGGAAGCGTTCTCTGTTTTAGAGGGTTTTAAATTCAAAAATGAATTAACTAATCAATTAATTGATTCATCAGGAAAAATGTAAATTTCTAATTCAATATTTGTCAACCTCAACAAATCAGGAATCAAAATGAATTGCCTTTTTTCTGATTTGTGGCTGTCTCTAGTGCAGAGCCAAACTGTCATACTATAATTGCCAAGAAATGTACTCATGTGATTCTAATTTTGCTTAGTCAACCATTCAGAGCTTAAACGAGATGCTTCTCATCCCACCCACTAGACTGTGGGATTTGCATCTCAGATGACACAGGAAGTCCACATTTTATACAAAGCCAGAAAACACGTAGTTAGATTAGAGGCTGCCTTTTTGTATTAGGTAAAAGTAAAGGTTCCCCTTAACAAATTTTGTCCAGTCGTGTTCGACTCTAGGGGGAGGTGCTCATCCCCGTTTCCAAGCCATAGAGCCAGCGTTTTGTCCGAAGACAATCTTCCATGGTCACATGGCCAGTGCGACTTGGACACGGAACACCGTTACCTTCCCACCGAGGGTGGTCCCTATTTATCTACTCGCATTTTTACATGCTTTCGAACCGCTAGGTTGACGGGAGCTGGGACAAGCAACGGGAGCTCACTCCGTCGCGTGGATTCGATCTTACGACTGCTTGGTCTTCTGACCCTGCAGCACAGGCTTCTGCGGTTTAGCCTGCAGCACCAAATGAATAAAATGTAGATGGTGAAGTGGAAGGAAAGAGACATAAGTGTTCCATATTGGAAAATTAATAAAATGTCACAGAAAGAGCTTGCCACTTTCAATGTATTTACAGGATGTGTGAGTCAGAATTAGGAATTAATTTCAGATTACATACTATCACTTTGAACACAGGATTTTTTATTCATAAAAACTTTGTGTTTTTTTAACAGAAATAGTAAGCACTTTGACTTGTGTTGGCTAATTGCCATTTGACTCATCCTTATTTAGATTATGTATTCTCTCATTTTTTAAAAAAACACAATACATCTGATTATATAATTTTTGAATGCTTTAACAGATATATGTTTTTCTATGAATGACAAAAAAAAAATGACAGGGATTCAGTGTTGTTTCTCAAGCTGCTTTGCAACCACCACCACTCCCAGCTGACAAAGTGGTTTGTCAAGAAGCATGGGGAGCTGCTATTGTAGAAACATGTTTAGAAACACCCCTTCTATTGAAATAATTGTGTAGGCCTTTGTAATGATGTTGGGGGAGCACTGACAATATGCTTCAGAGCTGATGTTTACTGACTATTCAGTGTTTCTTCTTTTTAAATGTTGCTTTCAAACAAATCTCTTATAGTACCATTTACATTTCCCATCTGTCAAACAATTCCAAAATGACTCAGAATTTGTTACACATATGGGGTTATGAAGTCTGAGTGATTCCATCTGGCAAACAGTGGAACATTTGCATTTTATTGCAGGAATTATTGCCTGTCCTGGCTCGGCAATGCTGGGGGAGGACAAGAGTGAGATTGTCTCAAGCTGAAAACAATAGACTGCAAATAACTAGTTAATATGATGAGTGATATGTAATAAATTATTTTTCACAACAGCAAAAGTACAACTTATGTTACAATGTTCAACATTACTCCTTTTGTAGTACAACTGTAACTTTTACATATGTAAATAGCTAAGCCTACGTGTTTTGCTTAATTTTGAGAAATGTGAACGCAAAATCTTTTTAATTTTAGCATTTTGACAATCACTAACTATTTTGTGGGACCTTGGAACAATTGAGAGATCATTAAAATAAAATTATTTAAAAAAAAAAAAGAGAAATGTGAACGCAAAAACTTTTTAGCATTTTGACAATCACTAACTATTTTGTGGGACCTTGGAACAATTGAGAGATCATTGAAGCCTGATTACATGTCTCTTCATCCCTCGGGGTTTGGGGAAGTCCACAAGCAATACTTACTTGGATTTTGCTGGTGTCTTACAGAAAGAGATGAATTTAATGTTTCTTTATAGTATTTGGATTTACACTTAAATAGACACATACACCCAACAAAGCATCTGGTTGCAACTGAAGGAATGATGATGAGAAGCAAGTAAAGGAAAGCAGGTTAATCAGCTCTGCTAAGAAATTGCTTTGTCATATTTCTGCTTTTCCTCTCCAATCATTTCTCACCTGATATCAGCCAATCCATCAGGCTGTACTCCAGGATGGGCAGAAGTGTCAATCTCTACCTTGTTATATTTCTCATTTTTCTCCTGCCAGTCTTGCATAACATCCCAGTGTTATGCAAGTTTTTAGTCACAGAGAATTTCATATATCTTTTTCATGAACATTTTCCAAATACAGTATACAGGTTCTTCCAGCTATTGCCTAGCTATTAAGATGGCATCTACTGGCCATTTAGACACCAGCCCTTTTGTATCAATTGTAGAGTCTTCACCAGGAGAATAACCTCATCTTGTTGAGCTATAATATCTCATAAATTGTACACTCTATGTGCTGTTTCCTTGAATGTATTTTTTTCCATTTTCCTTGGGTTACTGCTGCCATTACAGTATATGCTATATAGGGTTTGAAGAGTGCTGTGTGGATCCATCAATTTAACAAATAAAATATGAAGCTTATAGGAAGTTTGTTGCCTTGATTCTTTTATGTTGCAGTTCAGGAGTGTTGTCTAACAGATAGATAAACCACAAAAGGTTTATCCACTTTTTGTGTTGGCAATTATGCTGCTGAATGGATGGCATCTACAACTTTAGCTAATGCTTGGTCATGCTCAGATGTTCAACAGGAATCATAAAATCTACCTCCTTTTAAAAGATCATATAGTTTTATTGCCAAAGTTGCATTGATTGGAATTGTTCTTGCAAAATTTTAAAATACCCAAAATTTGTTGCAATTGAGTCTTAATGCTTGGTTTGGATATCCGTTTCCAGTTTTGCCATGAATGGTGAGGAGGGCAACATTCCCTTTTTAAAAAAGGCTCATATTCCCAAAATAGAAGTGGAATATATCCAGTTACAGACTTTCTGGAATTTGTCAAACAGCCAGTCTCTGGTAACCACATCAAATTGTATTCACTAGTTTGGTTAAGCTGTTCTCTTGACACTTACACAATTAAAATTGTGTTTCTTAAAGCCTTCTCTCCAGGATCATTAGCATAGTCCATTTACCATATGACTGGAGCATTATCCTGCAAAAGAAGAATTGTTTATTTTTCATTCAAAGCAGGACAATCTGCTATTTCAATAATAACTGAGTTGGGAAAGTACAGAAACCATACTTCTATGTGATGAATAAGTAAATGTAAAGGTTCCCCTTAACATTTAGTCTAGTTGTGTCCAACTCTAGGAGGCAGTTGCCATCCCCGTTTCCAAGCTGTAGAGCCAGCGTTTGTACATTTTCACATTAAAAACACCTCACTGGGTGTTTTTAAAAGCCATTTAGTCTAGTTGTGTCCAACTCTAGGAGGCAGTTGCCATCCCCGTTTCCAAGCTGTAGAGCCAGCGTTTGTGTGTAGACAGTTTCCGTGGTCACGTGGCCAGCGTGACTAGACACGGAATGTCGTCACCTTCACCGTGGTGGTACCTATTGATCTACTTGCATTTTTACATGCTTTCGAACTGCTAGGTTGGCAGGAGCTGGGACAAGCGACAGGAGCTCACTCAGTCACGTGGATTCGATCTTATGACTGCGGGTCTTCTGACCCTGCAGCACAGAGGCTTCTGCGGTTTAACCCACAGCGCCAACACATCCCCCTATGTGATGAATAGGAGCACCTATTACAGCAAGAGTCCTTGGTAAATTTTAAAATAATTATTTCACTTCTGAATGTTTTCTCAAATCATTAAGGATTAAGATTTCTGCTCCAGTATCCTTTTCACATCAGGTACTCAGTTCCTGGTTTTAACTGCACTTTCAGTTTCATCTCCAGAATTCTCTTTCTTTAGGGTTCTTTTTGTGTTTCTGTTTTTGTTTGGTTTTCTGTTTTGCACAGCTTTTGCTGTCTTTGCACTGAGGCTTTCCCAGTAGCGTCAGATTCAAGTTTCATCTTGGTACCAGCTGAAGTAGAAAAAAGGTACTATGCATAAAATGATTCCCCTTCTCCTGATAAAGAAGCAGTAATATGTTCCACAGATTCATTCTCTCTTGACCATTCCTTTTTTGGCTGGAAATTCCTTCTCAAAGTTCTCTCCTGTGGAGGACCACGACTCTCTTCCTGGATCTCTCTTCCTGAAATGTGGTACCTTCTCTCTCTCTGTCCTTCTCTCATGTGAACATCTGGCAGGGTAGCAAAAATTGTCCAACAGATGAAAAGACTCTCTGGAGAATCTCTGTGAACTGTCCTGTACGTTCAGTATCAGTTGGCAACTTACGGGTATTCAGCTGTTTTTGTATAGCTATTTTATTAATAATATTTTATTAATGTTTTCAGGGTTCCCCAAATAACCAGAAACTAAGGTAGTATTTTCATACCCAATGAATAAGCTGGTGTGAATCCTATGGTTTTCACAGCATTCTGCATCACTGTCCCAAAATCTGAAATAGGACTGCTCTTGATGGCCATGAAAATCCACGCTAAAACACCCAAACAGGTTTCACATTCCTCTTTAGGAGAAATCATAAGGTGGTAAATTTAAATGAAGATGTATATGATGTTCATATGCATTTATTGCTCCTGAAGCAGCTTCCAAGGCAGTCGGCTTATAAGCTATGGGAACTTCTTCCCTTTATGTAAGCAAAGGCATTAACAATCCCTTTAAATTATTCCATAAATTTGTCCCTTCTCTCATGGGAGTTTGAACTGAAAGCTGACCTGTAATCACTTGTGAGAGTCCAGTGTTCCACAAAGGTCTTTGTAAGGTCACAATGCATCTCTTTGTTGTCATTGATTCATCTCCCAGCAGATCAATGTTTGGAGGGAAGTCTCTGCCACCAAAGGATTATGCTACTCTCCTATCTCTTCCACAGATGCTGCTGCATAGGTGAGTTCAACATCAACTCAGGGAGTATCCAGTAATGTCAGTCCAGCTCTCTGACATCCTGCTGGAACTGGCAAAACTGCTGGAAAAACATCTGATTCTGACTAAAACTTCAAAAGCTTCAGGCATTGTCAAGGGTCCATGTTGTTCATCATGATGCAACATTGTGTCTGTTACCTAATGTTCATAATCAAAAGCCTCAAGGACAGCATGTCTATATCATCATAAACTGGCATAATCACTTTCTGGCTGAATAATTATGACAACTATCTGTCCACCTACTAATCTGTATCTCTGTGCCCACTTTGGTGAAAGGAATAACTGCAGCTCTAAAACTAATGATCATTCTTCAGATTTCAGCATATCTTCTCTTATATATATATATGATTGAGAGCAATCAATTCCATTCCATGTAAGTTAGCTCATAAGCAATGAGGTAAATCTTTTCCTGGGTTCATCAGTCTCAGAAATCAGGTGCATAAAACTTCTGATTCTCTGTCTGGCTCATCAAAAATGTCAAGTCAGACAGACTGGCACATAAACATCTCTCTAAGAGCTCTACAGAAATGTATAGCCCTCTAGAGAAAAATCAGAAGCTGGAATTTATCCCTGAAAGGGTTGATTCCAGTAACAACCAGATAAATCTTTTTCATATGATATAATTTGCTTTCTTTTTCAGGTTATCCTAGATAATTTCTTCATGAAAAACAGACAAACTGATTGTCGAGAACAATCACTAATTTTTCTCCTCTTATTGAACAAGCATTTGCAGGTAGATATTTGTATGTGATATTATTCTCAAAATTTATATTTACAAACTTAATATGATTTGTCAAAAAGAGAATTATAGGAACTTAGCTAAAATATTCCATCAGAAGTAATGCAAAAATATTAACCAAGTCAAGTAACTCTCAATTAAGTAAGTCACATTAACAAGATTACTTTAATAAGCTAAAGCAAAAACAAATAAAAAATTACATCAGGCTAGGTTCATAATGTTGAAGAAAGAAAAAAGAATCTTATTTCCTCTACCACCACTTAGGAAAGAGTGTTCTTTACTTAGTCAGCCTCTAGGACCATTTTGTATATCTTTTAAATCAGTCCTTATCCCCTCATCAACTGTCAACCTTCCCCCCCCCCATATCAGTTAGTTACTGAGCTCTGTATGTGGTTCAAACATTTTCTATAAAATTTCTATTCATTTTATTGGAGTAGAAAGCCATGACCCCTGTGAATTTTGAGGCTGGCAAATAGCCAGTATGGCAGACATCCGGCTTTGTTTTGAATAGTTTGGCCTTGCACCTGTAAGATACGGTCATTAGTGGAGGAATATCTTACTGGCCTGGTAATTTGGATGCCAGTAAATGCCATATACTGGTCACATGGACACCTCACACCATTTTAAACAATATAAGCTAAAGATTATTATATAACTCCAATTATGTGGTCTAATCATCATTTGCAGCCTTGCGTCATTTGTGATCACTCTTAGTACATAGAATCGCAACACTGCATGTTTGGGACCTCTCTTGTCTCCCCCACAAAAATAGGTCTGTAACATTTGCACATGTAGAATTGTCAAGTTGTTTCTTTTAGGATTATTTCCTCAAGGTAAGGAATTCATTATGTTCTTTGGGCACCAGATACAGGAGAGAACATGGCAGATCATCTTTTTGTAATCACTGTATAAATAACTATGCTTTTTTGTATGAAAAAAATCTACATCACTAACCCCCCACACACACACACACCTCTTCTTCTAAATCAAGTAAACCTCACAGGTAAACCTCCCAGAACATCATTCACCTTTTGAAAACGACTGCACACTCTATGTGAAAATGGAAATGAGACGATTTGTGGTGTAGTTTGGCCCTTTATCCCAGAGCATAGGAAAGCTACTGTTGTGAACTTGAATTCCCATAATTGCTCAGGCAGACATCTTTCTAGATGGAGGATTCTGGGAGTTGTAGCTTAGTCCAGCTTTGCTTTATTATCCATTATGCTTCACTATCCAAAATCTAACATGTTAAGTTTTACATTCCTCTTTAGTAATCACACTTGTGTACAAGGCCCCAGTCTGATCATCAAAGCAGTCTGGCAGAGTGAGTTTCATTCCATAGCACAACAGGGACTGCACTGGCAAAGCCAACTGAGAATTGGGCCGTTCATATTATGCCTCAACAGCATGTTCTGTATTCATGTAGTAAATAATTGAAAGGATGTTTGACTACAGGAAAGCTTCTGCTGCAACTTGAATGTTGGAAACAATCTCCAGGCTTCAGAGAGCTAAAAGTAAATGTAATCGGCAAAATATAATTTATGGGCACTTTTTCCTTCACACATGTCCAGTCTTCTGCTCCAAAGGAGGGGGGAGGGTAAGTAAGAACTAGCAACAAATATCAAATATCTGATCTTCTTGATAAAGAAAATCACATTTTAAAATATTTTGCTAGCAGATGCAGTTGATTGGAAAAGTATATGTTTCCGGTTCACTGAATTTCCACAAGTGAAATATATTTACTCATGTATTAAAGCAGACTATAAAGATGCAGTTGGCGGAAGAGCTGAAAAGGTTGTGTGTATCTGAAATATTTTGTAAATAAGGGGTGTCAAAAGGTGCCACATATCTGACATGAGAGTGGGAATCTGAAATACTGTTGAATTTAACTTTATTTACAAAACTTGTTCATAGACCTCCTGTCTTTTTCCAGGTTACATTGCATTCAAAGGTGTTCCTTGGCCCCCAGCTGAGGAGTGGTTACATGATCTTCTCTAATGTCTGTCAATAGGTTAAGACTTATTGGTGTCTTTGACTGTAGTATGCAGCTGACAGGACAGGCCCCACAGGGCAAGCACTTCAGCTTCCAGGTCTCAGAGGCTCTCAAATTGCCAAGACCTTCTTCGCCTCCACAGTTGCATCACAGTAGGGGTCTTTGGTTCAGGGTCATGAGGAGATTGATTGAACTAACATTGTGCAATGGTGTCCATATGGTGGTGGTGTACACTCTGGAGCATCCACCCAGGTCTCTCCCTCTTCCTCCTCATCTGCCTCTTCAGTCCTCTCCCCTCAGGTTCCATTGCCTCTCTTCATCGCTATTCCCTTTGCTGATTGCTCCTCCCTTCCTTTTATACCTTTGTCCCTCTCATCCTTCATTCCATATTCCTCTAAATCTTCCATCCCAGCTTGCCCTGCCTTGCCTAGAACTCCTGGAAACTCACTGTTTGCAGAAAATGCCTCACTCACTCTTTGGACACTCAGGGCAATTACCTTCTGATGCCATATTGTCCTCTACTTCCATGGCATTATTGGGTTCAATGTCTGTAGCATGACAACCATCCAGAGTTAGGTGGCCCCAAGGAGATAATCCTGGTGTTAGCAGTCATGAAAATTGAGGGTGGGGTGGGGGTAGGTCCAACTTTTGAGCATTCCTTGATGAAGTATTTCATTGTGTCGCAAGAGGCTGAAGAAAATAAAATAAAGTGAGCATTCTTCACATCTTAGTGTTGTGGAATACCCTTTCCTTAGAGGCCCTGTTGGTGTTGGCTTCTTTTTATGCAAAGTCAAAATGTTACTATTCACCAAAACTTTTGAGGTATAGTGATCATTGCTTATAATCAATAATATCATAATCAATCTTCATTGTATTATATACGTATATACTGTATTATTGATTCAAATTGTTTTCAACTATTTCAAACTGTTACAATTGTTTTAACTGATAAAATTATTGCTTTATATTGTTTTAATATTGTTTAATAGAGCTTTATTACCTATACAATGGCTTGAGGTCCATGGATATTGGGTGGGAAATAAATGTTTAATAAAAGAAAGAAAGAAATCGCTGCTGTTGAGTAAAAAAGAGGAATACATGGTTCTTAACTTACCACCAGATAAGAACAAAACAGAAGAAAAAAAATACAATGTTGTGGCACCTTAAAGATTAATTGTTATATTTCAAGGTGTACTTTCATGGATCAAGTCCATTTCCTCAGATCTGATCCTTTAAATCTCATATTGAAATATGGCAGTTAATGTTCAAGGTCCCACAATATATTTTGCTTGTTTGTTTATTGTGTCATGTTTTATTTAGGTCTGATATGCTTGCACAGACTAACATAACTACTTTGAAAATTCAACAGTCAGATAGTAGTTCTTGACTATATCTTAAAAATTATCTTTTTTCCCCAAAATATATGTGTAGACCTGCTGGCTGGATAGCTCAGTGATGTAAGTATCTGGTTGCAGAACCAGAGGCTGGGAGTTCGATTCCTCACTGTACCTTCTGAGAGAACAGCCAACCTATGTAGCCATAAGCAAACTACACAGTCCCTGTCCAGACCAGGGTTATGAGTAAATGATGGTGGTGGTGGTGGTGGTTGCTTTTGATTTGATTTGATTTGATTTATATACCTCCCATCTGGCAGTCAAGGCTACTCTGGGCGGTCTACAGCAGATAAAAGAACAGAGTAGCAAAATAATAATAATAATAATAATAATAATAATAATAATAATAATAATAATAATAATAATAATAATAATAATAATAATAATAATAATAATAATAATAATAATAATACATTTGGGGCATAAATCAAATATCATAAAGTACAGTAAAACAAGTATAATACAATAAATTACAGTTAAAAGCATAAAATATCAAAGACAAGCATGGCAGTGTGATGGATGATATTTTAGCAAACACTGTTGTATCATACAGCTGGTTGTTCACAGAAGGCCTGCTTAAATAGTCAGGTTTTTAACAACTTCCTAAATGTGCCCAGTGAAGGGGCCAAGTAGACTTTGGATGGAAGAGCATTCCATAGCTGTGGAGGTACCGCCAAGAAGGCCTACTTTCTAGTGGTTGTTTTCTGGTCCTCTCATGGGGTCAGAACTTTCAACTGCCCTGCCTGGGATGATCTTGCAGGGCAGGCAGATCTAACTGGAAAGAGGTACTTGGCCAGATATTGAGGTTGCAAACCATTTAAGGCCTTATAGGTTAGTACCATTACCTTGAAACTGGCATGGAAGCAAACAGAAAGCCAGTGTAAGGTGGCCAAGGTGGGGGAAATGTGTTGGCATTTTCTAACCCTACTCAGCATTCTGGCCACCACATTCTGGACCCATTGCAATCCCTGTAGCAGTCCCAAGGGCAGCCCCATGTAGAGGGCATTGTAGTAGTCTAATCTCAAGACTGCCAGCGCATGAGCCAATGTGGTGAGGGATCCGGTGTCAAGGTAGGGATGCAGATGGGCAACCCACTTTAGGTGGAAATAAGCAGAATGGACCACCTTTATAGGTGGAAATAAGTGGAACGCTACCTGTGATGCCATTTATACGGACCTCACCTTTTGTGGAAAGAGTAAACCCCCCCCCGAAAGAGAGGAAGTCACCCAAACCATAGTCACTAGAGGTCCCCATCTGCAGGATTTCTGTCTTGTCTGGGTTCAGCCTCAGTATATTTTCCCTCATCCACCCCAGCACAGCATCCAGGCAGCACTCAAGGGATGGGATAGCATCCACTGCAGAAGGGTGGAAGGAGAGATAGAGTGTCGACATTACTGGTGACACAGAGCTCCAAAACTCCTGATAACCTCCCACAGAGGCCTCATATAGATACTAAATAGCATCATGGAGATTATTGACCCCTGTGGGACCCCACAATTGAGAGTCCACAGAGCGAACATCTCCCGAAGCTGAGCTCTCTGGGGACAGTCTTCCAGAAAGGATCATAGCCAGGCCAAGGCCGGAGCATCAATCCCCAATCCTGAGAGCCTCCTCAAAAGGATACCATGGTCGATTGTATCAAAGGCTGCTGAGAGGTTGAGAAGGACCAACAAAGCCATTTTGCCCCCATCGGCTTCCCTCAGGACAGAGGTTGAGAAGGACCAACAAAGCCATTTCGCCCCCATCGGCTTCCCTCAGGAGGTCATCTTGCAGGGTGGCCAATGCCATCTCAATGCCATGATGTGGCCTGAACCCGAACTGGAACAGATCAAGGGCATCGATCTTATACAGGAGTGCCTGAAGCTGATCAACCACCACTCCCACTGAACCCGAACTGGAACAGATCAAGGGCATCAATCTTCTGCAGGAGAGCCTGAAGCTGATCAACCACCACTCTCACTGCCAGCTTGCTAATAAAGGGGATATTGGCAACTGGACAATAGTTGTTAATATCATCAGCCGCCGTTTGGGTTTTTTCCCTGATAGGTCTAATGAGTGTCTCCTTGAGGGCGAGGGGAACCCTGCCCTCAAGGAGAGACCCATTAATAATAACCCCTGCCCACTCAGTTGTTATTGGCCTGGACACTTTCAAGAGCCAGGCTGGGCAAGGATCTAGTGAGGAGGTGGTGGCCCTGCAGCAATCAAGGACCCTGTTAACCTCAGCTGACGTCACAGGCTGAAATTGTGTTAAATTTTCTGGGCAAGGTAATGCGCTGGACATCTTGGCTCAAACTACGGATAAAGAGGAGATATCTATGTCCCAGCAGATGGCCTCCACTTTTTGTTTAAAGAAGGCCACGAATATGCTCAAGAGACCCACAGTCTACAAAGAGTCAACTAAGAGAAAGTTGTTATATTCCACTTTTTGTTTAAAGAAGGCCACAAATATGCTCAAGAGACCCACAGTCTACATTTTGAAGAGCTTTTGGAAATGAGTATTCCTCAGATTTTGTCAACTAAGAGAAAGTTGTTATACGTACAGTGTATGATGAATCACTGACCAATAGAAATGTTGAGAAAAGTTATTTTCAAATTCTATATGCTATGATGATTTTTAAGTGGCCTGTGAAGAAAATGCCTATTCTTCCATCGGTATTTTGTATTGACCACATGGCTGCCTTTCTATTCAAAGCAATTACAAGGATACCAAGAAATAGTCACACACCCCTGGTACCACCCGAAAGACACATGAACTCTCAACATCAGTGGAACAGGACTGCAAACACTAGGTAATATCATTTTTACTTTAATTTGCCTCCAGCTGGCTAAACCTAGTGAGTTTACTAAATTATCACCCATATTTCCAGATGGAGGACTTGTGTTTTCTGTGTTACCACCCCACCCCATCCCCAGGCAAGCAGAGACATGTGCATTTCAAAGAAAGGCCAAATAAGGAGGTGTGTGTGCACGTATGTCCAGTGCTTCTTTGGTTGAAGAACTGGAGGGTGATATTCAATCCACAGCTGCCTCAGCTGTAACCTTAAAACAGCAGTCATTCTATTTCCTGCACCTCTTCTGACTTACATCTAAGAAAGACGCACCTGGCAAAATTCATCTTGCTATGAACTTTTGGTCGTTACGTTCTTCACACTGGTACATGCCTGACAAAGTGGTCCTGATGCAGCTCACAGATAGCATGATAACTTGCTTAGTGGTCTATAAAGGTATTGCCTTTGCATTTACTATTTGGTGAAGGTGCACTGGGCAGTCCTTTTGATTGTGTCAGAGATATGATCTGTGCAAAGGCCCTCAGAATACCAGGAAGCAATATAGGAGATTATAAAACAATAATAATTCATGTCAGCAGAAGGACATAATCGTTCAGGCAGTTGCCAGAAGTACTGGTGGGGTAATGTGTCCATAAAGTCATCAAGACCTCTTGGCAAACTGAATAGAAAATATTAATGATAAAAATGGGATTTGCAGATAAAAGAGTAAAGCAAATCAAAGCGAAAGTGCAGACAGTAGTGATGTTTCTGAAGGAAAAAAAATAGACAGGGGGTTACCATGGTACAAATGCACACCTACAAGAAGTCCTCATTAAATTGCTATAGTAATAAATGATCCAGCTACTGGCATAACTCAGTAGGATGGGATCTGCAATAATGAAAAGAGTTTTTGAAAGGACAGCGCGTACTTTAAAATAGACTGCTGCCAATAAATCTGAGAAACCAGATGCAGACTAATGATAACCTCTGATATTGCTCACATTATTAGGATGTAAAATGACACGAGTGTATTGGAAGAAAGGACATCAAGATGATGCATGATAAACTGGGTGGTATTGCTCAAATGTATGCAACGGTCATGTGTTATTTATTGTAGCTGTATCTTGCCCTTCACCTGTGCAAAGACAATAGGCACAGGTCTGGACTCCTGCCCTCACAACAATAACCATCTGAGGAAATTCAGCCTAAAGAGATGCTGACCAGCCCAGGAAGCGTTTTAGCTGAACAGGGAGATGTTTCAGTGGAAAATTTGCATTCTTTGAGCACAAATTGATTTCCTTTGAGCTCTCCTGATAGCAGTGCCTACAATATCTATCTGAACTAAGTTGGTCATTAGTTCCCCCTTCAGTATATTCCAATGAGAGCTTGAGAAAGTCAATTCTTTAGACGGCAACTCCAAAATCCCCTAAGCCAGCACAGCCACCTCGCCTGAAACAGGTCTTATGTGATCTTTAATCTTTACAGTTGGCAAGCTAAAATATGACCATTGGCAAAGTATCCTCTTGGAATGGTATATTGAGGTACATCTTTGCCCTCTTCAGAATTAAATGCGACACAGATGGTTGTAAGCATGGTGAAGGCCTCATTGGTGGTCTCTCTACTGTGAGGCTCATTATAACCCTGAGCTAAATCATAGCATACATGACTTCTGACACCAACATTGTACATAGTCCCTTTCAACTTACATTGTTTATGTCTGATAGGGGTGCATCTGCAGCTCTCTTGCCTTTCCTACTTCTTCCTCTGCTCCCTGCCATGTGCTGTCTTGTTGTTTTAATCTATCCAGCATTTCAAAAGTTTGTATGCTTGTCAAGGCTTTAGACTGCATGCACAACTTTCACATATTCACTGCATTGACCACACTGTGTTTGAACAGTGTTTTCCATGCATTGAACTGTATATATTTGTCCATAGGCACTTTTCAAATGGGCACTTTTCAAATATTTTCTCTCCAAAGGTGTCCACAGATGAAAGAGTGAGGCCTCCAAAGTACACAATGCATCTAGCCTGCTTGACAAGTCCGTTGTGTCTCAGATTCAGTGTGGTCTTCAGACTTCTGTCACAGCAGTGTTCCAGAACCAGTTCCGTGGATGTGCACAGGACCTGTTTTGTATTCAAATACTCAGGCCCAGTGCTTTATCTGGAATCCATGCCATTTACAATTAAAGTGGCTTCAGTGAGCTCATTGTTGTGTTTTACTTGATGTCTCCTTCACTCTCCATAGTGAATATGCTAGGAAGTTTTCAGATGCATCCACACCATTATCTATTCCAAGGTAAGGAGAAAGATGGGGTTCATCTGCTAAAAATATGTTTTCCTGCAGGTATAAAAATTTAACAGGAGAAGGCAAACAATTTTAACAAAAATGTAGTATTTGAAATACCACCAGTTTCTACCAAAACCAGCAGTGGCACTTTCACTGCCCATCCCCCCCTCTCCCTCAGACTGATCTTTTGGCCAACAGTAAATTTGGGCTTTTCCCTCTTCCCTTTCTCTCCAGACATTTTCTTCTGCAGATGGTGTGTGCCATCACTAGTAGCTACCCAAATACCCTACAGGAAGGCACAGCTAATCTTCCACCCAATGTGAATGCACTTCAAAAGCCAACAAACCTGATTTCTTGACTAGAGAGGTATCAAGTTGGGGTGGGGTGGGGCAAGAGACAGAAATCATTTCAGAAGACACACTTCAGAATAGCTTTTCTATGACAAAATATTGGAGTGAGATGGGGGGGCAAATGTCCCACTTTTTTGACAGAGTGCTCTTCAGCTAAAGAGGGAGCTAGGAATGGAAAGCTTTGTTTGCTAAGTGTTATGATGGTAAAGTACTGCTTTCAAAATGCTTCTGCTGCCATGCCTATTGAAAATGGCACTGCCATATGGTTCTCCAGCTTGGCTCTCTGACAAACATCTGGAATCTGTTCACCAGCTTAAACTCCTGAAACACGTGCAAGGACATCCCTTGGCTTTTTGTTTGTTTTTTAATAGATACATAATCCCAACTGTGTTTGATTCTCTTGAAAGCCACTGTATTGGATGTAATGGAAAGGACAGTAATATTTCATTAATAGTGTTGTCGCTGTACTTAACCTTCAACACATGGAATTAATTAACTCATGAACTTCATGTATGACTGAGCCCATGGTTCTCTAAAGTCTCTGTGTTTCCCTTCTCAAGGAAACTTGTATAGGAGTGGCTCTATAGTACAGCTATTGCTGATACATCCATCTGACAACCAGATGGGTATTGTTTGTTTATTTGTTTTATAAAATTCTACAACAGGGGAGATGCAAGCATCACCAAAGGAGACCTCAGAGCAATCTACAAAAGATTATAAAAGCAATATAACATATCAAAGGAGGAATATAAACCATGAAACCATCAAGCAAAACAATAATAAATCCTAACAATGGTTGTAACAAAAACAACAGATTAGTATTTTAAAAAAAGAGTACAATTATAAACATCAAGGAGTCTTGTGGTCTCTTAGAAACTAAGTCTTTTGTTTTTTACATAAATTGTCAAGGATTGTTGGCCACTTTATCAGATGTAGGAGTTACATCTGATGAAATGAGTTACAGTCCCCAAGAGGTTATACCAAATAAGGCATCTTACATCTCTAAGGAGCCATAAGACTGTTTGTTGTTAATAGTAGGCATCCTACAGTCTCAAGAGACTATGGTAACATGCTCTGAACAGAGGTATGTTAATAATAATACATTTATATCCATTTTACTAATAATAATAATAATAATAATAATAAACCTTTATTGGCATACAACCATTCAACTATTCTGGTTTCTCTTCAGACCGCATAAATCTTCCATTTTACTATTCTCATAGATTCATGGAGGATGCAGGAAATTGACATGCACACCTTGATGGTCATTCTCAACACGAGGGGCTCTTTATCGGCTACATGCTTTCAGTGTTCATCTAACAAACAGAAATGAAGAAGAATCCACCCTGCAGTTAATTTGAGGACATGCATTTACAATATCTCTTTAATGTATTGACCTTATATATTGTTACCCTATTAATATTAAACCTTGAAATATCTGACATGATCACTTTCACCTGATATATTAAAAGCAGCCTAGAAGATGAAATACTTTCTTCATCTGAGGGAAAGAAAATGAGGCCAAAGAGAAGAGATTACACAGTTAGCCTGTAGCAGATCTGAGAATAGAAAACAGTGGCCAGATTGCCCCGTGACATGCACAACTTGTGTTGTATTAAATGGGAGCTTGATCCATAGTACAGTAATATACACTTTCTTGTATTATAGATAACCCCAGAAGATGCCCTTCTACAAAATTCTATTTCAAGGTCAATTGCAATATTGCCCTTTAGTAACATGCTAGCCCCATATATCTGGGAGGGATAAAAGAGAAAAACACCATTTTGTATGAACTATGGATAAATGAGCACAAACAGGAAAGCAAATGGGATGTTTGGCCTTTTAGCTAAGGACCACTTGGCAAGTAGATGCAAGTACTCACTTGTCTCTCTGTCGCCAAAGGTTTGGCAGGAGAAGGAGTGTGGAAAACATGCCTCAAAATAGTAGGCAAGACATTGAAGTTTTCTCACATCACCTTCATTATTTATGGAAACCCCAGAGAAAAGACAGGAAATGCTCAGGTGTCTCACTGAGGTCTAGGGCACTGGTTTTCAAATTCTGTTCTGGTGGAGCATGGAGTTCTTGGAATATTCTCAGGGACACATGAATGTCAGGTATGATTCTTTTAATGTCAGCTTACTCACCTTGACCGCTCTTCCCTTTCAGTCACAGGAGAGTGTGGAGTATGTCTTATGACCTCTTTAGAGTCCAGACAGGCCAAGAGTTGAGGCCAGTGCCCTTATAACTGATTATTCACTGCACCACTTTCTTCCAAGTATTTACACTAAGGTCTGAGATCATGCTGGGAAACAGCTCAGCACACAAATGAGTGGCCCTCCCAAAGTGGCAGGCTCTGCTCTCTGCCCTCCCTCCAGGTAACCATTGGGTTTGTGTAGATTGAAAGGTGGGGGGGATGAGCTTTGTCCCTATACCTCCCAGATAGTTGGCAAGGGCAAGGAGGGGGTCGGGTTTGGGGAGGAAGATATTCGCTGTAATCCACATTTTTCAGCATCCATTCTTCAGTGGCTTGGAACCAATCCCTCATAGATACGGAAGTCCTACTGTATGGCTTTTCCTACATTAAAATGTATTCAATTCTTTTTTTAAAAAATTAAACAAACAAATAAAAACCCACAAAAACCTCCAGTTTATGAATGTGGAATAGTGTTTCTGTATCCATAGTTCAAAGTGCCAGGACATAGCCTGATATTGCTGCACAATATTGTGCTCGTGTTGCAAGCAGGAAAAAGGATGTCAAGTTTTACATAGGAAAGTGCAGTCTGAATGTTGATGACACCAGATGGCATATAGGATACCCTTCTGTGCTCACTAGTCTACAAAGTCTACAAAGAGACATCAAGCAGGAAAAAATCCCAGAACCTAGCTCCTTTTTAGACCAGGTATCCACTTCTCACCCAAACACAATTGTCAGGGATGATTCAGTTTCAAAGTTACAATTTTTTGTTTGGACTTTCCTCATTTTTAGAATTGTAGAATGTTTATTTGATATCCTACACAATAGCACAACTGTACTCTTGTGGAGCTATAATGCAGTTTTCCTCTATTTTAAATTTAATGTGTGAATGTTGGTATCATTAAAGAAAATGGTTTCTTTCTCGCTCACACACGCTCTTTTGTAAAGCTGCATAAATTTGTATTCCACACAGCAAGTACATGCAAGGGTTTTTATAGAACAATTTGACCAACTATTCTCTGTTCTTGAAAGCAATATTTAGAAGCTTGTTTTATTTTAAAATTGTTCTTGTTTGCAATTGTGGAATACATTTACTTCAAAGTTAACTCCTGAATTTTAAGCACTGATGTACCAAGAGACATTCTGTATGTGATGAGGGATTTGGCAGCCTACTAGATATTAACAAGCCACAAATGATGCTGCCACTAGAAAAAAGAAAGGAGCTGGTTGTTAGAAATAGAAATTCTCGGGAGATTATTCACAGTCTCTGTATCATGACAGTCTCATCACCTTCAAGGAGACTACACAACTGAAAAGTATCTGCCTGTAGGAATAATTTCTAGAACTCATAATAATGCAAAATCATACAGAATGCGTGGGGGAAATTCCAGTCTCCAGTGCAGGAACCAGACAGCTTTGGGAATGATACGCATGAAGTAGTCATGCATATAAGAGACAACTTGATATTGGGAAGAAGCTTAAATACAGTGGTGGTCCTACCTGCACTTTCAAACCATGGATGTAATGTTCGCATATATCCTATGCATCCGTGTGTAACTTCCAGTGTACTTTATTCATCATGATTAAAAGTTATTGGCCCAAGTCCTGTTAGTTACACACACATGCGTAACATAAATGGTGCAACCTTTGGAAGCACATTGTCTCAAGCTAGGAAATCACCTTAGACATCGGGCAATATCTCATTGGCTTCGATTTATGCTGATATAACCCAAATTGGCCACCAGAAATATTTACTATTTAATTTAAAACAATCAGAAGTTTCCTATCCCCTTCTTTCTGGTTTTAAGGCTCCATGGGGATCCTTTTGTCCTGGGAAAGCCTTTAGAAGCTCTGGGACAGGTGGAGTAGCCTTTAAAGATCTTTGTGACAGAGGGGTTAAACTGTAATACTGCAGCCAAAACTCTGTTCACAACCTGGGGTTCAATCCCAGGTACCCAGCTTGAGGTTCACTCAGCCTTCCATCCTTCCAAGACTAAGTACCCAGTTTTCTGGAGGGGGCAATGTGTAGTCTGCATAATTAAATTGTAAACCTCCCAGAGAGTGCTTTAAGCACTGTGAGGAAGTATATAAGCAGCACACTTTGGTTTAATAATGACAAATCACCATTTGATGTCTCCCAGTGGTCCTGAGCCAAGCCACAACAATCCACTGGTGGTTTTTCAATATCAAAGACTCCCCTACCCATCCTGAGGCTTCC